CTGCCCAGACCATCAGTAAAGGAAGAGGATTATGTGAAGAAAGTTTGGTAGTTGTGGGATAAAAGTTAAATGCTGGCACCCCAGTGTTTTAGAAAACTATGCAAGAGCCCTCTTAAGTTTGTATGTTGTCATCCTGCTTTTCTTTACATTATTCAGTGCCTAATTGCTACAGGGGATGGGGGGGGGGGGTGAGAAATAAGTGTTATTTTCAATATTATGCAAAGATGGCACTGTTTGTAGTTATCATGTACACAGCATTCTGAGAGGACACTGTAAGTTAATGACTAACAAAATATTAGTAATGGTAAAAAGAACTACTAATAAGAGAAAATTCACAAGGTAAAAATGATGCCACTGTTAATATGACTCTAGATGTGAAGGACAGATAAACACCCTGGATGGAGTCTTGTCAAATATTAAGACAAAAGCTCAAACTTTTATAGTGCAGTTGTATGTGATGGAGTATGTAGCGGAAGTACAGAAATGTGATTAAGTGTAAGTGAGGTTTGTCACTTCCTACAGCTTTATTTGCACATTTCTTAACAGGAAGGCAGTACTTTGGGGGCATTATGATGTGAGCTAACTTCTTACTGCATTTCATTAATTGATTTATGTGATATTTGAGACCAATGAATGATGTCTTAGAAGCTGAATTTTCAGGATATATTTTTATATTTTTGTAGAAAATAACTAAAACGGCTACATTCCTTCTTTCTGCTGCAATTAAATTGTTTTAAAATAAGCATGCCTCATATATAAACTGGACATTCAGTATTGTTTCACTCTAATTCACTCCAAGGGATCTATTAACAAGAGCCTCAGTTACCCTCCTTCAGAGGCAGATCATAACACTTAAATACAAACATTGCAGCTATTATAATCTCAGGGAGTAATTGAATATGGATCACTCTGAACCCTGACAATGTGGTTGCCAGTGAGAAGGAAATTATTGTTTTATGACTCTATCCTGTAAGTAAACATTTAAGCAACATTCTAGATAATTTTTAAGACCAAAACCCACTACTTACACATATTCATGTCTCTTATAAACCTTTTTTAATTGTTTGGCTCTGTAACTTTTTAATTCAAATTTTAGCACAGACAAGTTTGAACTATCATTCTCAGTTCATTTTGAACTACCACCTTAATTTTGAACTACCATTTTCTCTTTACTTGTATTTTAAAAAACGGGCAGTATGTTAAGAGAGTTATAAAACAGGTTTTTCCTCCTATGTTTATATTTTGTTAGAAAGCTAATGGGAGAGCTCTGATGCCTTGGGGCTCCACAGACAGCTGTTGCAACAATCTCTAAGTAACAAACACACTAGTTCAATTTTCTTCTTAAATTCACATCATAATGATTTTTCTTTCAGTATCAAGTAAATCTTGCCATCAACAGATACTACTAAAAAATCCCTTTGTGTCCAGCACAGTAAATTGCAAAAGTACAGCCTGGTGTAGATATCATGCTAAAGCTGTAAATTGAAATTAAATGTAAATTTTTGCTGTAACAGTTCTTCTTGCAAAAACATTATTGGTTCTGTTCATAGAGTAAGCCACAGGACTGGGACTGCCCAGAGACTCAACTCAACAAAGAGCTCATATTTAGCTAGAACTCAACTTACTTTCTGTTTTCTTATGTTGTGTCTGTTTTTTTCTTTCTGGCTAGATAACAAATGACCTTCAGCTTCTTGCTTTACTCACAATAGTTTAAACACACTAGTTTTGCTTTTGACCACAGCTTTTATTTAGCCCCAATATCCCACACTGTGCCTGATGACTCACTGAATGTCTGACCCTCACTTGTCACATAGCCTAGCTTCTCCCCAGATTTCCTGTTCTTACAGAAGACACTGTCAAGAGTTTTCCTGTGCTAGAGCTGCAGCCAGGAGACATTGCAGAACCAGAGCTCCAACTGTGCTTGTTAATATGAGGTGTCACTATGAAATAGCCTTGCTAAGTTTTACCATAACAGGAGGAAAAAAAAAGAAAATTAGTCCAGGCAGCTGAATGGCAGAAAACCAATGATCTAAATGGTCAACAAGGGCTTGGCACTGCTGCGAAAATGTTGCATGTCTTGTTTCTCTAGCACATATTTGTGAAGGGAAGAGTGGCTAACTATCCTGCTCTTCTAATCAAAAGACTTGCTTATTTATAGGCATCAAATTTTATAGAAGTAGTAGCCAAAGCGGTGCCAGAGAAAAGTAAAGAGAACAATTGCAAGAAAAGGCGGCTTATGGAAAAAGACTTCCTTCAGAAGTGATTGCAATAACTTCAGAAAGTGTAAGACCTACTAAAGGATGTGCTTGTTTTGATATACAGAAGATTTTTAGGAAGTGAAACTCTGTTTCTTTCCCATGCTATGGTAGAAGCAGGCCAAGAGACAGATTCTCAGGAAAAAGAACTTTGTTTTCCCCCTGTTCTCTGCCATCTGAAACAATAGTCGCTGCAAGAGGCTATCCTAGGAACTGTGAAATCTCCCTAAGTGGATGAGAAATAAAAAAAACAAACCCAATTTTATTTTGGAATGGAGTAAAATAACTTTCAGCACAGATTAACAAGAGCTATTGCTTGGTTTGGTGTAGCTAAAATTCCCAGAGGCTCAGCTTGGTGCAACTGCCTCTGCCACCCAAGCCCCACTGCCTTGGGGCATCACTGCTGTTTCAGTTCCCCAAGTCTCTTATCATACATTTAATCAGACTTAAGATCGTCACGTCATATTTCTTACCACTCTTCAGACTTGGCTGAGGAGGCAGACTGGGTATGCAGGTTTGTGTAAGCGAAAAATACTTGTGAGATTTGTTAAGCTGGAAATGTTTGTGTTAGGAAATGTTTGCTCAGAGTTTACATTAGGCTACATTAAGCCCATGGAAATATATTGTTATGTGACCCCTACATGCACTGTAAAGATTCAGTGCTGTGTCGTACAAGTTGTGGTGAGGCTCATGGCGCAGCTTTGTGGTGACTGACCAGGAAATCCCCCACCTGCTAGTTGTTACACAGCATCCATCAACAGGTATCCCAGGCTAGGATCTGCAAGTCCTGTTGTATACTTTTTGTATATTTGTGTGGTTTTGCTCTGGATTAGCCCTCAAACACACACACAACCCCACACCCACACAAATATTTTAGTGGCATAAATTTAGTCACATATATTTAGTGACTGACCAGACCATATTTACAGTCTCTCTCCTTTTTCCCTCCCAGACCCCTTTCTCTAGTATATTTCAATGATTTCTGGTTTAAAATCAAGTATTCAATCCTATTCTCAGGTCCATTTGAATATTGCAGAAAGGCGAGGTGAGGTAAAAGGACAATGTTAATTCCTGAATCCTCTCAGGGAGCTGTCGAGACTGACTGAGGAGGAAGGTGATTGGGCCAGTAGGTGGTGACTACTGCTGGAAGGAGACCCCAGCCCCATTTCTCCTCAAGCACTTTCTCCTCCTTAGGATTTTTTTAATCAAACACTCTGCTAAGCAGACAGCAGGTAGCATGTGGTTGTGTTTCACTTTAAGTAAATTCTACATTCAGAGCTGCAAGATCTACCGAAACTATTGTCTCATATTTTTGCACCTAGGTAATGAGACCTTCAGGGAAAAATGTGAAGAACGTCTATTTATTACCTTCTTGAAAGAGGAATTTGCAGTTGTTTCCTATCTATCTTCCCTTCAAAGCAAGCAGAGTACCTGCCTGAAGCAGGACAGTGCTGAGCAGTTGCTGTTCTTCATTTGCAGAGCTGGGCTTCTGGAAAAGCCATTCACCTCCCAATACCTCATGGAAAATGCTTATTTATACAATGTGTAGAAAAAAAAGCCACAAACAGTTTTAACCTGAGGAAAATACAAATGCATTTGATAAGAAGGAGAATCTTTGTCACATAAGGATGTTTGTTCTTAAGGACGCTTAGAAGACTGGGATATTTCCCTCCCAATATCACTATCCCCATCCCATTGGAGGATAAAATAAGACTTATTCCAAATGCAGCTGTCTGCAGACAGCTGAAACTGGAGGATCTAACTACATAAACAAGTTCATCCCCTTGGTGATCAGGACTTGTTTTATCAGTAACTTGCGGTCACTGCAGGACAGACCTCAGCGACAGCATCACCTTGGACTTGCCATTTCTCGGTTTCTCTCTTGGGATATCTTTTTTCCTTAGGTTTCTACATTCTTTGAGACAAAACAGTACCTTTTTAGAGGTACTTTATTCCTGAAATAACTAAGATACCATCTGGAAATGGTCTTAGTGTGATGCATGATCAACTTGCAGTTAAACACACAAATGTTAATATAAGATTTTTGTGTGTACAAAGTTGTCAGAGAAAAAGCACGAATGTAACAGCTGCATGTAAAACATGGTTGATTTTCCTTACAGTGTTCCATCAGTATTTACCTTGTTTTTTTCACAGTTTTTTTCACTGTGATCAAGATGACAGCAGTCCCTGCATCTTACACTGTTCCTCCATTAAACACCTTGTGTCCTTCTACAGCTTATTTTGATGAATTTTTTTTAAACCTCTGCATGAACAGAGAATTGCCAAATTTTTTCTGGCACATCCTATGTGTTCATGACTGATGCTGATTAAAATATCACGAATACCTCTTTTCTCTTCTCAAAATCACCTGAAAAAAAGACAAGAGTGCTTTTACATAATTTTATCCTCCTATACAGTCCTGACTTATTCCTGAAGCATAGGACCCTATTTGCTGGGCTTTGAGCCACTTTAAACATGAAAGTTAACTTAAAAATGTAACTATACCTCAGTATCAACTTAGTGATTTCATAGTCTAGAGGTGTGATACATACCCAAAACCTGCTGGTATAATGTGACAAAAGTGTCTTACTTTTTGATGTGGACTGTGACCAGTGTAGACCAACCTTTTCCTGCCTCCACAGAGCTCATGAGCTGTCAAGCTGCAGAGCTAACCCACCTCACTGGGGACAGTTCAGTAAACAACACAGATGAACTCCTGTGTGTCCTTGGCACCTCCAACTTCAGATGTCCACAAGAAGCTGCCTTTGGAATAAGGTTTCTTCTCATGCTAGGCTTCTGACTTGCTGTAGAATTGCTTTGAAGGGCAAGACACATTGTTTTCTTTGGTCCATGGAATTCCCATTTTTTCACGGAAAGATAACAAGAAGAACCTGTGAAGAGTTGCTGAGCAAGAAGAAAAAGAATGGCAGCTATTTAATACGGGAGAGTGAGAGTGTGGAAGGAGCCTTGTGTCTCTGTGTTTTGTAAGTACTCTAATACTGATTTTTTATGAGCTTTCAGTTGGATCCAAAGACAACAATCATCTTCTCTAAAATTAATAGTTCTTCCATGATATTAACAGACTCCAAGGGAGTGTGTCTATGTATTCAAGTAGTGCTGGTTGCTTTAGGTTTCCTTTATAGTGACAAATGAGGGGGTAGCATTTCCAAAAAGCTATTTTATGTAATAGATGATAAATGAACTATAGTCTGGTGATGCTGGTCTCTCTCTGCAGACAATAAGGGCAGCCCAGAGAAAATAACTCAGCCTGCCAAAATATGTTAAGATCCTTACTCAAAGTAACTGCCTCTGTAATGATGAGTAAACAGCATTTTAGCACTGTTGAGACACTGAAAAGTCTCATGGCATGTTACAAAACACCTCCTTCTTTGTAGACTTTCTGTCTGATAAAAACTCAGTCTTGTGTTTCAAAGGAATTTTACCTGATATAAGAACATAGGCTGAGGCTGAAAATTACAAAGTTCTGTCTGAATTTATATGACAAATCCACAGACAAGATGGGCATAGAAAACTGTTACTTCTAGTCCAAAGCTTTAATTACTACAATTAAAATGTTATTATTTTCTTTTTTCTGTGGGGAATAGCACTTTTATTTCCCTTTTTACTCTTTTCATATATAATTGATCTGTTCATAAGTTTAAAAACTAGAATCTAGGTCTTTGTTTGAACCTATGAGGTTTTGAACTCTTGTTGCAGATACATTTGAATGTGACATGAAAACCTTTTAACATCTAGTTAATGAACAAATATGAGAAGATATTTTTATCAATCACTAAAAATTAATTTGTTATGAAACAAATCAATGGAAAGGGGAGAAAAAGAGAGAGAGAAATGGAGTACTACTGGGTTGGCAGGTTGAAGAAAGCAGATCTTCAAAATAACAGAACGAATTGAAGAGAAATAGCAAGTTGGGGACAAACAGACCCCTCAGCAAGGCAGCTACAGGAGCCTGCTTTCAGTATGGTGTGGAATGGGACAATGCAGGGGCTGAGGGGAGGGCAGGGAGGTGGGAGGGAAGGCACATGTATACCTTGTCAGAAGGGACAAATGGGGAACCTGACACAGAGGAAGAATGACAATGTTAGAACCTGGGTTAGGCCACACCAACACAATTGCTTTTCCTTTCATCTTTTTTTTTTTTTTTAAGGGCAAAGCAGATTTGCCTTGTGATGTCTTGCAGAAACATTTTGGCCTGTCACATCTGCCTGCCACAATATTCTGTGCCAGCACATGAAAAATCATGACTTCCAGTTTGCTTTTGTGGGTTTTAGTGTTAAAAGCTGATAAAAACTGAAGTGTTTAGTGGATTTGCCTATAATCCTGACATGAACAAATGCCATAGTTAAACTGCGAGAGCAGCAGCAGTGGTACACAGATGGTGGCTTGCACAGGTCAGAGCAAGGCTTGTGTTTAGACAGCACATGGAATAGTATTAGTACACTGGCTGAGAACTGCCCCACAAACTGGGCTGCCTGGCAGTGGTTCACTAGGCAAACTGCCCTAAAACTGGGGGCAACCAACACTGAAATTCTTAGTGATGTTCAAAAGCAACTTTTGAATTAGCATTGCATCTCAACACCTTGTTTAGCACCTAACACGGTTTATGTGCAAACTGATAAACCCTTCTCAAATTACCTGATCTGTGAGGAGAGACATTGATCCAGTTGCTACAGCAAACAAACAAACTTTCTTGTCCTTTTCTACTGGGATATGTGGGGAAGTGCATTCCTATGGAGGACCTGGGAGGCAGAATGGTGTGACCAGTTCAAATTCATCTCTCTAATTGGGCAAGGTGCATGGCTCTTCCTCCACAGCACAGTCTCTTTCATCTAGAATTATCCCAGGTCTCTGACAGCACTTCACTTCAGACCTAATGGTTTTGCTACTGTTCTCCTTACTGTTCAACATGCCATTTTCCCTCTCACCTCGCTTTTCTTCCAGACCAACATTTTGTTTATTTTTACCCTTTACTTGCTCTTGGTAAGCATTTAGAAGTTAATGAGGAGACAGAAGTTTCCATTTTAGTGGTAGTTTCATTTTCATTTAGTAAGAATTAAAGTACCTGAATAATATCCAGAAAGAAATGTTTTAATATTTGATCAGTAAAGAACAAGTTTCAAAAATGATCAGTTCCTGGTATTTCTTTTTCTCACTTCTCTGTGTCTGTAAGCACTCACATTTGTAAAAGTACTTTTCAGCAAGGAACATGTATATTTCCACAGGTATCTCAAGAAGACAAAGACCAAAATATGCATCCCTGTGATACCACTTTTTGAATTAAATTAAACGTATTATAACTGAAAGCCTTATTTTAATTTCAGTTCATAGTAACTTTTTTTGCAGAACAAAGTGTTTATTTTCAGTAACCCTTCACTTTTGTGCAAGTGCCCTGAGCCAGGTTTCTGCCCCAAGATTCTCCTTCTCATGACAGTTCACTTCACATATCCACAGCTGAAGTCCTCCTGATGAATGGGCACACAAGTTAAAAAAACTTGTTTTCAGATGCTGCTCCCACCTCTCCCCAACTTCCTCACTTGTTTGTGATGTATATTTTCTTGCAGCTCTGCTACCTTTTTTGATCACAGTCACGATCTCCAGTCCACCTCCTGAATTGCTGCTACTGTGGTATCTGATAAAGCTTTTATTTTTGTTGACAAAATATATCCAAAGACATCAGTAGCCACAGTGTTCAAACACATGCTTATTATAAAAAATAACAATGACTAAAACCTTGGGAAATGCAAAGGAATAACATTATTCTCAGAAGTAGGAGCCATACCATCATTTTCTGGGTGCTAATGACTGGAGGCCATTTTCTGCCTACATCTCTCCAAGAATTCAACAGCCTTCCTGTGACAGAAATACAAAATGAAGGTTAGAGAAGTGAGGAAGATAAGAGAGAGATGAGAAAAGGTGCTGTTTGTGGAATGAAATTATGCTTGTTAAAGGCCTGTGTTAGGCTTAGTTCATATGTTCTTTGAAACTCCTGGTCAGAGTAATCTTGTATTTCAAGATATTAAACCTTCACTCATTTTGTAATCTCTAGGATCTCTTCTCTTTTGCTTTCCCATCTCTGCCTCATTCAATTTTACTGCACTTCTCATGTCTTTAATACTGTTTACAGATATGTCCACTTCGTTAATGTGTTACATATATGATGTTTTTTCACAGCTTTGAGGGCCTCATCTACACTTACCGTATCTTCAGAGAACACCAAGGATATTTTAGAATACAGGTGAGTAACTCTCATTGCATCTCTAAAGATTGCATTAAGGATCATAGATTTAAAAAACCCATAAATTAAAATATCTTAGATTCATCTATGATCAATGATCTATGATAGTTTTAATCTATTATCGTTTTAGTCTATGATCATAAATTTAAAAAAAATCCATAAACACAATACTATAGAAAATATTTCCAAGTTTGCTCTCTACTCAATTCTTATTGTAGATGACCTCAAAAAGTAGCTCTTGTGTTTGTAGAATTTCCTTATAATTTAAGTGGCTCTATTATTTATTAACCAGCTGTTTTCTCATTTGACCATTTCTTTTTGATAGCACTGATGAAATATCTATTACTTTTCTTACTTCCTCCTGTTTCTTACTTTCTCCTGTTCCTAATTACCTTTTTCTACTTGAAAGCACTGCTAGTGCATGCAGCATTTCATAAGGATCTGGGATATTGAAATGATCTTTTTGATTTAAAGAATCTATAATTCTGTGTGATTGTGAGGCATCTGCAGCGACAATGCCAAATAATGCTGCTTATTCAAGTAAAACAATGGTTTTGCCTGTGCATGAAAGACCCAATTTCCCCTGAAGAATGGTTTACTGACAAAAAATATTCTGTTTTGGACTTTATCCATTCTACTGGGGTTATGCTGTCATTCTTGTCAGCAGGTAACTCAGATATTTTTAGACTTTTTAAACCCATTCTTCCACAAATTTTTGCCAATAGTGTGAAAGAAGAATTCAGTTCTTAAAAATTTTAAATCAGGTTATTTTGGCTCACTAAAATAATTGACTAAAATAATGTATTGATGTGGAAGAGAGGTTGTTTGGGATTTTTTTTAAAGCCAGATTCAGACATGAGCTTTCTTGAGTGCAGCAGGCTGATCCCAACCAGCTAAACACCCCTACAGCTGCTCACTCCCTCCCTCCTTAGTAGGACGGGGTTGGGGGAAGAGAACACAAAGAGCAAAAGTGAGAAAACTCCTGGCCCAGATAAAATACAGTGTAATAGGTAAACAGGTAAAGCAAAGTTGTGCACACAAGCAAAGCAAAGAAGTTTAGCAACTCCTTCCCATCAGGGGGCAGATATTTAGTGACCTCCCGGAAAGTGAAGCCTCAGCACACACATAACCACAAACGTCCTCCCTTTCCCTATGCTTTTATCGCTGAGTACAGTGTCAGATGGGGTAAGATAGGACAGACAGCATCTTGCACACCCCCAGCCTACTCCCCAGGGGAACCAAGAGCAAGAAAGACATCCTTAGTGCTGCACAACACTGTTCAGCAACAGCCAAAATGTGGTGGCTGTGTTATCAGCACTGTTCAGTCACAAATTCAGAGCACAGCACTTTGTAGGCTGCTATGAAGTTTACTCATCCCAGCCAGACCCAGTACACACAGGCATTGGCACCCAGTCCATCCAGGGCTGAATAAAAGATGAAGGATGCAGAAAACCAAAGCAAATAAATGCATGTTTCTTTGTTAGCTAGCAGATTAAGAGAAAGCCCCGTTCTCTTTTAATGACTACTAGTAGGCTGCTCACTGTCTGTCACTGCCCTGAAGTCACAGCACTGTAAAGTCCATGCACAGATCCCCCCCACAGGGCTGAGCTGCAGGAGCAGTTCAGTCCTGTCAGATGAACCCACACTTAAAGAACAGTTTTTTGCACATGACCTTTGCTTGCCAATGCTGATATTTTGTAAAAGTTTGAGTTCTGTTTGTCACCTAGTTATTTAAAGGCAGCATTTTAAGTGAGAACTAAATATGTTATCCCTAAACTTTTACTCTCAGACCAGAGTACAGTGTGTAATGCTGTAATCTTCAACACTCTGCTGTAGTGGATCACTGCAGCACACATCTACACCAATAATTTAACTGATGTTCTTCTTGAAAAAAAAAAGATACTGAGGGAGGTTACTTTTAATGCCATAATCATGGCTCCAAACAGGTCTCCCTAGTGTTTTAAGGACAGTGCAATATTCTGTCACCAAACCTGTTTACAAAACAGCTCCTTGGTAAATAAGAAACAACTTATCATTCTTTTCATTTAGGGAACTCCATGTGAAGGGAACTTGCAAACACATTTTGTTATCCTTTCCTTGCAGACTTTTGAAGGTGTTCCAGAGAGGACCTTCAAAACATTAAAGGACTTAATATACGCTTTTGAAAAGCCAAATCAAGGACTGATAACTAACCTCCGCTACCCGGTGAAGAAACCAAAGGCCTTGCAAAGAAGCCAGAGGTTCAAGTCAGAAATGGACAATGTTTATGATGGTGAGAAACTTAGCTCTGCCTTTGTGGGTTTTTTAAAGGTGACAGCATTGACAGGTTTGTGGTAAATACTTGCTAAACATTGTCTTGCATGGACAGAAGTTTTACCTCCTCCCTTCTCTCTTATGTTCACTGAAATGGTTATTAGCTCACAGGTTACTTACCCTCACAAATGTACAAATTAAAATCACTAGAGATACACAATGATGAAAAAAGCTGCCTCCAGCTGTCTCATTCATGGATGTTGATGCTTTTAGGCTGGAGAAGACTGAGAACCAGTTTTACTTAATGTGCTTCTGCCAAGATACCAGGTCCTTGCACTTGGGAGTTGAGGATGTCATTTACCTTCATTGTCCAGGTCTTAAGATATGTTTATATCAAAACCTTACTCAGTTAGTTCTAAGATGGGCAGGCAAGCAAGCCAGCTTGTGATTTGTATTCAAACATGACTAAGTGATCAGCATATAGCCTTGTGCTCAGGATCACAGCTTTGGAACCAGAGTTCAGCCTCTCATTGCTCTTCTGCTAATTTATGGTCACGACTCCCAGGTGTAGGATGAGGATATGATGCTTCTACCTGACAGAATTATGGAAATGGATACAATAAAGACAGAGGTTCTCATAAAGCTTTAGACTGTGTTGTATAGCCCCATGTCATCCTTACATCCTTGTTTTGAGAAGCATGACTGCAGATACTGTTGATAACTTGCTAGTATCCCTCACACCATTCTTCATGTTCCTGCTGTACAATACTGAGCTGCAGCATCCATCAGGCCATGGGCTGCAAAATAACCCTGAGACTGTTCCATGACCTCTGGCAGAGTGTGCCAAGAGCCCCAGCCAGGAGTAAGGTAAATCCTTTTGCTAAGTACAGATATCATAAAGCAAACAAAACTTTGGAGTCTCCACCCTGCCCTGTGATTTGAATCTCATGCCCAACAGCAGCTCAGCACGGTGGTGTGCGGCAGTGTTATAATCCAGTTATTAAAGTTATTAGAAATGCCTCTGCCCAAATTAAGGTGGAAATGAGACCATATGCCAGTGACAATAGTTTGGATTTTATTTGATAGTAAATATGAGAGGGAGAGAGAGAAAAAGGAGAGTAAAAAGAAGAGAAAGGAGAAAGAGGTGGGGGGGATAGAAAGAGAGTGACAGAAAATATCACCACTCCATGAATCCCAACAATGTTCCTTTGATCCTCTCAGCTGGTCTTCTTGGTGATGAAGGTGTCCCCAGAATGCATAGAATCCAATGGCTTAATATACACTCAGGCTAGGTAGGAAAACCCAGGTACCTCCCTGGGGCAGCGAGAGTTTGCCATTGTCTCTTACAACAGACTCTGGGTTTTTTGCATCACGTGCAGTCCTGTGATGCAAGGCTTCAGGAAGGACTCTGGGGGGCACTTCAGGGAGTCTTTGATGGATTAAGGCACTCTCTCAGCTGCCTCTCACGTGAATGCCCCATTGATGTGGCCTTCCCAAGGTTGGGGGTTCCATAGCCAGTTTGTGTAAGGCAGGATGGTTTCACTGCCCCTGAGCAGCAAACAACATGCCAAAACTTCCTCCCCCCACCTCTGCTGGGGGGGAAATCTGTACAAACCTCCCCCCAGAAAAGGGGTCTGACGGCTATGGCCTCCCCCACCTTGAAGCAAGGCAGAGATGATTCTCAGTTCAGCTGCTGGGTTTGGATCACATTCTTTTCTTTGTTTACTTGTTTGTTTCAGGTGACTGAAGAATGGGTTTTCCTTTATCTAATCTCAGTAGTTTGGGTAACTTCAGGGAGGCTTCTTTGGTTGTAACTTCTTTATACAGTTTTTGTTATAATGAGCAGAACTTTATATCAAAGTTCGAGGCATGAACTATTTCAGACTCTGACAGACAGGCCCTCTTTGCTGCAGTCGCTGGGGTTTCACACACAAGAGCAGTACAACTGCTCTGGCCAAGCTCCCCCAGCACAGCGTGCACTGCTGCAATTTTGGGGCCTGACCTCCAGCAACCTTGCTGAGGGGAAGCCACAGAGACACATTTCCCATGTCATCAACATTACCTTGTCACCTGTATCACACAGCAAATATGCCATATTTGCTCTAAAAATTTTGTTATGGTTTCTTATCATTGCTGTTGCAGGGAGACAGAAAACATTGCAGTAACATGGATATGTTTTTAGATATTTTTGGTCCTGCAATAGGAATTTTTCTTGAAGATGAAGAGTGTCCTCATCTGGAATCACAGGGAGGAAAATAAACCCTTATATTTCAATGTCAAAATATAGGTAAGCTTCCATAAATATGGAGGCTTTTTAGAAATAATCAAGCTACTTTGGAATTGTTTTTATTAATTTTTTATTTAAATTTCACTTATACAGCATTCCAAACTTCTCTCTCAGGCTGCATTATTACATGTCCACAGCAGGGGCTTATGGGGCTTAAAGGTCATGCTCTCCGAAACACAGGCACTGCCTAAAGCACAGCAGTGCTCCCTAAAGCAAGCGCGTCCCTCACGTGCTACCAGCAGCTGGCTTTGCTGCACACATGGAACTGAGCACTCCAGCACAACCAGTGGAACACCTCAAGGGACTGAGATCATGATCCTGGTGGTTGGAGATATTTGAGCTTTGTTTTCTAGCTTAGGAATAGCTTTTCTGAGGGCAGCTGTTTGAAGAGCAATAGGTCTCCATAGTGGAACTTTGAGTTCCAAGCATTGAATTTCTGCCTTTTTCCTGGCTTCTCAAAAACCACAACCAATCTTACAAAGTGTAAGAGAGAACAGGATTTTTCAGGCTCTCCTCCTTTAGTTGGGATGAGAACTTTTCTCTTGGGTATTTATTTACAGAACAAGGGATGCATTTTGAGAGTCACAGATATCTCAGCTACTGATTTGATTTAGCAAGAATGGATCATTTCTGACATTTGACTGTTTCTCAGGAAGAAGGGGGTAGTATCATGTGAATACAGCTGTTTACAACAGTGCTTCCTGGCTCAGAAAAGGCTTTGCCTTTTCCTGGAGAATCCAGCCCATAGGACAGGGGGCCTAAATGTTGGCCCTGCAATAGCACACTGAGAAACCAAACTGAGTTACTGATACCTGCCCTGCCACAGGCTGTGCTGCACCCACAGCCTTTCAGAAGAGCACCTTGCAATGACATCTTTTTTTATTTGTATTGATTACTTCACAGAAGTTGATGACAGCGATGATTACGTTGATGTCTTACCCTGAAGGATCTGTGCCTGATGGTTTCGGAAGCTGCCATTCCAGGACATGCCCCGGCACAGGGCCTCAGCTGGGGAGAGCTTCCAGCTGGGTGTCCTCTGCTCTAGATCTGGAATTACCTTCTCCTTTTGCAGACTGTCAGAGTAGCTTGTGGAGGAATGGCTACATGACAGGGGCCATGTTCTGGACCAAGAATCAGGAGGATGCAGCTAATCTGGGTCCCTGCACCTGCAAAACACTGTGTCCTTGAGCATAGCTGTGGTACAATAACAAGTAGTGAGAGAGACATAAGAAAAGAAAGATGTAACCCCTAGGGTATGAGGAAGAGCTGATATTGTAGTATAGCCAATAGATTGCTTAGCTTGCAGAATATGTATGAGCTTATTACTTGTTGTGCATAAAAGTCTGATGCTCTCTTCAATAAACGAAGCTTGCTAAACACTCATATTGAGCGTCCAAGTTGCCCTCACCGCGATAGTAGCTGTATCTTCAGCCAGTAGATCCAGTACAAGCTATTATGCATGTTTGCTCAGCAATAAAAGAAGTACTTTTTGTTACAGACACAAACACACCTATGTAGGTATGGGGGAAGGCGTCCATGTATGTGTCTTCTGGTGGTTTTTAGCCAGGAAATTGTCTAAGATGTTGACTGCTAGAGTGAACATTCTGCTAGAAGGCAGCAATATAAATACATTAAATGAATAGGCATAAAGCAGTAATTTATGGCAGAATTGATAGGTGTTGATAAAAATCATATATGACAAAAGATAAAAATGCTGTGTTAAATCCATGCCATAAAAAAATAACCAACCAGAGAAAAATTGTTTGAAATACTTTTAACTTTGAGGAACGGTTCTGGCGATTACAAGAGGGCTACAAGTTGTACATACATGTCAGCATGAACACATCCTTTTTTAAATAGATTCTGTACTTATGGAAATACTTACTCCATTTGATTTTCTATTGCCATTAGTTCTGTATTATGTATATGTCTTTTGTTGTTTGTTTGCTTGGTTTTAATGCAAAAATTTGCTTTAATATTAACCCCAATTTTAAATAGTTAATAAATACTTTAGTTCTGAAGGTGGTCTGCAACTAGCAGCCACAGCCAAAATGGGAATGTATGTCCTGAGTCTTCCAGTCACTCCTATAGACTTGCTCACCATTTGAGACTGTGAGGAAGACATTTGTATTTGTTGTATGTTTAAGACCCTTCACAAATTATTTATGTATTTTAATAGGTAATACTAGTTAGATTTTTTTTTCTATTATGTTTCTCTCGCACCATTATTTGTCAAAGGAATTTTAGACCTTTCAGAGCTTTGGACTTCATTATGAATTTAACAGTGCTGCAGAGTTTTTGGCTCCAGGCTCAACTAGTATTTGTAGTATGAAAGAGACAAAAAAAAAAAATAGACTATTAACTAACCCTAGAAATGCCAGGAAGTACTAAAATATATGTCCAAAACATCATTAATTGAAAAGAAAGTAGTCATCCATGAAAAACGTACTATGGGACATAAACACTCCAGCCCTTGCTCTGTAGAAGCACGTAACTAATTTGCCTCTTCACTTGCAGAATCCTGTAGCCTGTCTGATAGCTGGTTATCACAGGTAACAGACTGAGCAGCTGCTGTGCTGAGACACCCCACCTCCAGCAGCACGGTCCTCAACAAAGCACAGCACTGTAGTTTTTCTGAAATGGCAGTCTCAGCAGTCCCCCAGGTGCTCACTCAGTCACGCTGATGTTCAGCCTTGGGAAAAGGCCGAGCGACAAGGAATCCCAGCCTGTGCCTCATGGTGCCTACTGAGTGACTCTGATGGCTGAACAGAGGGCAAGGGCCCGGCCGTGGTGCCTTTCAGGTGGCACTTGTCAGCGTGTTATGGACTGAGACTTACACCACCAGTCCTGGTGGCTGTAACTCCTGGTCCAGGACTGAGGGTGATTTCAGGCCCACACTCCAGTCACCTCCCCAGCGTTCCCTTGCAGCAGTCATGTGAAAGAGGGGACACAGGATCAAGGACTTAAAAGAGGAAAAAGAGACACAATGACGTTACATTCACATTGCTTGCCTGTCCTTTATGGCAATGTTTAGGACAAACAGCATGGGAAACAGCACAGGAAAATACAGAGGCCGATATAGACGTTCCTACACATATTTGCAGGCCTAATATGACAGAAAACAATCAGTGCACGGGTTGAGAAAATATGTTCAAAAGCTTCACACAGCAGCATCTACCTGCCGACATCCAAAGGTTGGGTCGGTGAGTGGGTGTTTGTCCATATCGGGGGGTTGAGTAGTGGGGGCGCGGAACTTTTTGTACCTCTTGTACATTCGAACTTCGAGCACATGGTGTAAGGAAGAACATGGTCCAAGAAAGGCATGATCCCGATGTCCCGGAGCACTCCAGCTGCAAGGAGTACGAGGAAAGGTCTCCTGCTGCAGCGCAGGCAGCGGGAGCGGGCGCTGTGCCCGCAGCGGCCTGCGGGGGTCGCTGTGTGAAGGGGATGAGTGGGCCGGGGTCGCGGGGCCCCGGGTTCGGTCCCCACCGTCGCCAGGACACTGCTAAACCTTCTCCCTCCCGCCCGTGGTTCCCTGGCCTCTCTCGCGGGAGGGGGAGGCTGGCATCTGGCCAGGCTTAAGCCCTCCCGAATAGGAGAGGAAAGGATCATGGGTACTAGAAAGACAGCAGGAAGGTGAGGCAGGGCTGCGGGAGCCAGGTGGGAAGCGACAGCACCTCCAATCGGAGGCAGCCCTCCAGAGGCAGGACGACTGGAAGACTCAGCTCCCCACGACCACGCAGAGCTCCGCTTAGGAAAAGCATCCCTCTGGATCGCCCCGACGGCACGTGAGCCCTAAAGCCGCTATCACCGACCCAAGCGCCCGCATTCCCCGGATCCGCAGTCGCCACCTGCCCCAAGCCGTGGCTGCTGCCCGTCCCTGACTCCCTTAAGCAAGATGGCGGCGGCGGCGACGTCTCCCGTGCTGCCGCGCGGCGGCCGCTCGCGCTCAGTGGTCGCTGCGTCATGATGGCGGCGGCGGCGGCGGGAAATGCGAGTGAGGGCCGAGTGGAGCGTCTGAGGTGCCGGGCCGCCATGGACCCCCCGAGCTGCATGAAGGCCCTGCTCCTCGCAGCCACGGAGTACCGCGCCGCCAAGACGGCGCACAATGCCGCGCTCCTGCAGCGCAGCCTGGAGGTGGGAGCGGCGCCCGTGCCGGGGCGCGGAGGGAGCGGGGCGTGGGGGGTGCTGTGGTATCTGTTATTATAACGTTTTATGGTGTGTTTGTGTTTACAGAGCTGTATTGTGAGTCTATATGCACCCAGGGCAAGCAGATAGCGTGGGTTACAGGGGACTTAATTTTTTATTTTTCCCTTAAATTCTGGCCCGCATGAATCGTTTCACAGCTTAAAAAATAGCGTGTGAATGACGAATTGGTCTTGCATCTGGAATTTTCCAGTTCCGTGCTACTAAGGAGTAGTGAAACTGGAGTTTTCACTAAGGAGGTGGACCAGTTCCTTTCCCTGATCTTCAGGTACAGCTTTGTGTACAACTTATGTGGTACAGCTTTGTGTACAACTTTGAATTAATCTCCAAGTTACTTTTTCAAATACAGATTTATTTTAGTTGGTATTTATTTTAATTTATTTTAATTGCTTTAATTGTTTATGCGAGAGTTAGTATCTCGCTTTGCTTTCTTCCCTATATCCCTTGCAAGGAGATACAGAGGGAATACACAAAAGCAACATTATGTGTCTCCCATATGCAAAATATAAATCGTGTCTGACTGTATTGGTGTAAAGGTATATAATTTTTGGCCTCTTCTTATGAAGGGTTCTGCTAGCTCAGGTTCCATTTTTTCATTCCAGCCACAGAGTCCTCCCAAAACAGCCCTGACTGCCCCTGCAGATCCTTCCTGCAGAGTGCCACCTTTGGGTCCCTGTCCAGGCCTTTGGAAGGCAGGCTGATGGTGACGTGGTTATTCTTTCAAAATAAATAAACTTGGTACTTTCCAAGCATAAAGGAATGAAAAACAGTTTTTTTTCCATTTCTGCCTCTTTTTTTCCCCCCAGCACACATGAACATAAATGTCCCAGTACAATGACACTTACATTCTCAGTTTGTCAAGTAGGACAAAATCTATTTCACGCAATTCTGTGCTTCGACTTCCGTGTCAATTACATTGTTGCAGTTGAGTAAGTAAGGTTTTTCTCCTTTCATCTCCAGGTTATCTCCGGACTGAAGCTTACTCGTTTTTTTGCTTCAAACCAGATTCTACCAAGTGAATGTCTCAGTTGCCTTGTAGAGCTCCTGGAGGACACTAATATAAACCCTTCTCTGGTCTTGTCTGTGGTTACTTTGCTATCACAGCTAGGTAAGGTTTGCATCTGAACTTTTTATCTTTTGTCTGGAAAAGGGAAGATAAGACAGATGCTGTCTTATCTGTCTGTGTTGTGGGTGATTAATGTCTTGGAAGAAGCTTGAGGTGTGAAAGATGAAGTATTTTTCATTGTAGTGGAGTGCTTGGCTAAGCTACCTATTAAGAAGTTTTGCAGTGAGAAGGAGATTTGAAGTCATCCCTCTGAATGACAATGATCATGCTTGTCAGAATTTATCCACTGGGTAGAGTGAGAAATTATTCTCTTGTCCTTTATTTTTGGAGCTGGAAAAGACTACTTTTTTAATTAAGTGAAAAATGTGGCTAGGGTGTGCAAGGATAGGGAGAAGTGGTGTCACATCCTCTGTTGTAATAGCAATCAGTCGGGACTCAGTTTCCTCGTGCAGAGGAAACCAATTCTTTATTCTCATAACTATTTTTACACAGTTTTCACAGCCCTCGTGCTCAACTCTGATGGGCTAGTAGTTTTCTTGCCCCTTAATTCATTGGTTAGAAAGTGCTTGTGTGTGTAGGTGTTAAGACTCTCTCCATCTACAGGTGTTTACATATAGCTTTGGTGGATTGTCATGGGACAGATCTACTGTTTATGCTGGTGCCACTTATTTTTCTCTCTAAAAATAGGTGGCAATGCAAACAAATTCTCATTCTTAGGATTTCTTCACATGGGAACTTAAAAGTTACTGCTAGCTTTAGCTAGAGTAGCAGGGCCTAAGCCATATTTTATAAGACCTTTCTTTTATAACATCTTTTACCTGTCTGCATCTGCAACAATCCTCAACTGACATCACCTCAGGTTGCCTCTCCCACTGGAGTGTTTTCTGGCAGTGTGGG